TTTTACGAAACACCCTGTATTCAAATAAAATTCAATTTCTGTTATTAGCTGAGAATCAGGCAAAATATTAAACTGAAAAATCTCAATGTTGCACGAAACACCCTGTATTTAAATAAAATTCTATTTCAGAGTTATACTTTTTTCGTAAGCTAAATTATACCGAAATATAAAACTGAAAATCCAAAATGTTTTACGAAACACCATGTATTTGAATAAAATCCTAATTCAGATTTTTATACTTTTTCGTTAGCTGAAATCTAGAAAAATATAAAAAATCCTAATATTTTATGACACACCCTGTATTTGAATAGAATCATATTTCAGATTTATACTTGCTTCGTCAGCTGAAATCTAACAAGATATAAAAAAATCCTATAATGCTCTACGGAATACCTTGTATTTGAATAAAATTCTATTTCTGTTATTAGTGGGATTTTAGAAAATATAAAAAATAAATTCCAAATGTTTCACGAAAACGCCCTGTACATCAAGTTATTATTATACACAGTTTTCAAAATGTTTCGCTTATTATTGTTGATGTAAACTGTTCTCTTGTTGTCCCCAAAATTCAAGGTAAGTATTTTAAAAAGTGTCCAACTCAGTTCAATTTGATAATTTTTCTCAGACATGTACCTAAGCACAATAATTTTTAAGAATCAAATGAAATCGTTGCTAAGAAACAATGGGTTTAAATAACTATAGTTTTTCGTGTCTATTCAAATAATACCGAACTATCCAAGACTGACGCCTTTTTCGGTTGATAAGCAGAAAACTAAGCAACTTACCAATTTCATTGAGAAACAGCTATATCCAGAAATGAACGAGTAGCATCCATCTATACAGTGAGGGTTGCTCCATTATCTAGTTTCCCATACACACAAACACACACAAACGGCACTGATTTTGGCAAAACACAATAAAACATATGTCCAACCCAACTAAAGAATGAAATAATACTCTTATGATAGAAAGAAATATTGTTATTCGAACTTTAATCACACAGGAAATCGCGCCGAGAAACAGGAAATCGTAATCTCGGGCTGTTTCAGTCACCTATAATGAATTATTAAATATTCGAATACTTTTCCTTCTAATCTTCTACGAACTGAAAATGCCAATGTTATACAGGGTGGCTCGAAAAGAAATACCTTTTTTCAGTGGGGCACCATATGTATAATATTCCTAAGTGTTGATTATCCCTGGCAATATTAACATGTCAACATGACATAGAGGTCTTGATCATTCAGTGGCACTATATTATTATATATTGCTGTACGAGTTAAAACATACCATAGGAAGAATAAATAAATTTGCTATACCGAATGTCTGAAATGGAACATAACCTCAAAGAGCTTTGTCTAGTATTGATGTATGATAGCGTTTTTTTTTTGGTCATCTGTCAAATGTAATACGTCAGCTGTCTAATCCCGCAAAAGTGGGTGAGGCGTCCAGTATATTTTTTCTTTGATTGCTATCCAACTCAAACGCCCTGTATATATCATGTTATAGCGGGTAGCCTTTATATGTAGGTCGGAGAGGTATAACGCCTTTTGGGTTCACCCTATATTTTTTTCCCAACTATTACCCAACTCAAGTACCCTGTATATAGCCGTTGACGCCCTGTATATATCATGTTATAGCGGGTAGCCTTTTATATGTAGGTCGGAGAGGTATAACGCCTTTTTTGGGTTCACCCTATATTTTTTTTCCCAACTATTACCCAACTCAAACACCCTGTATATAACCGTTGTTGAAAAATGGAATAAAATGCGCGCCGTTATCTCTAGAACGGATCTATCGCAGTCCAACCGATGATGACGACCCGTTCGCTGGGCCGCGAGTAGCTAGCCGAGTCAGGCCGGCCTGTGATTGGTCGGCCGAGTCACGTGGTTTGGAGAAAAGTGGAGGGGAGGGGCTGGACTGGAGTAACGCGACCACTACTTAGTTGCCTATATCTAAGGTAGTACTGTTCCTACAATGAAGATGTAGGAATTTTCAGTTCAGCACAGTACAATAAAAAAGAAAAAATGGAAAACAAATAAAGATTGAAACAGACAATTGAATAGCAAGGGCAGTATTTATGAGGAGATTTGGAATTGCTGCTTCCAGAAGGTATATCATATAATAATAATTATTATTACTAACTTATTTTGATTGCGACGCTGATCGGGTTATAACAGTCTTCTCCATAATTATATCAATAGGTTTTCTTTCAGTCTGTACGTGTTTGACTGTTTGTTTCACCACCTCTGGAAATGTAGGTTTTGAAACTCTTTCCAAGTTTGTAATTGTTTCTAGGTTTGAAGTATTAGGTGTCGCTGGAGCGCTGTTTGTGGATCCTAGTTCTCTCAAGTTATGCAATTCGTCTATCGAGTATTTTTGATCGTCTAGGACAAGTTTGTTACCCTGTATATAACACTTTGAGTATTCACCAGTGTTGCGGAAGTGGGATAAATACTCTTAGAGGCTGTTAAATTCTGTCCTTTGGATCGGTGTTAAGTCGTTTGCTAAAGATATTCCCGTTCCCTTCAGCTTTCTTCCGTTTTTCAAAATGAGTTGTTTCTTCAGATGAGATACCAGTTCAATTTTGATAGGTGCATTAGCAGTTTTTCCAAGGGGATATAAATTGTTGATATCAGCTAACTTCAAGTCTACTCCTATGAGTTCTTTGATTTTCTCGCAAATAAATTCAGCGTTTACTTCGCTTTCTGGTTGGTTGAGACCAAAGGCGATAATATTATTCACCCTATTATTTCTCTCCAAGAGTTCAACTTTGTGACGTAAGAACTGATTCTCGTCTTCAAGTAGTTTCACTCTATTATTTTGTTCCTCAATCTTCAACAGCAACCTGGTTTCACTTGAATCAATTGCACTACTTAATTCCTTTCGGTTAGTTTTTATTTCCGTTAAGATTTTCTTCGTAGTTTCCTCCAATAATTTCTTTACCACAGCTTCATTCATTTTATTAGTTAGTTCAAGTTGGTATAGTGTATGGTTTGCTTTCTTTTTTATTTGGTCTCACCGTTATCACTGTTGTCAGAAGTGTTTGCAGCAGAATTGAGTTTTTTTTTTTTCTTGTACCTGACTCCCACGCTAATTTTGGGGTTATCAATTGTATTCTCTCTTTCTAGGTTTGGTTTTCAAACTGATTATCACTTTTCTCACATATTTGAGAAGATGACGTTGGAATCAAGCATCTCAGTCCAAACACAGATTTTTCACAGTTTGTTTTACTTGCATTTGATGATTATTCACTGGAGCTATCTTTATCTGCGACTATACTCTAAAGCGACCCGTACACCTATGCATTGATAGCATTATTAAAAAAACAAGATAAACCAAACAAACTGAATTCAAACACAATACAGATTTTTAGTAAAAAACTTTGAAGACTTGAAAAATTAACCTTGAAAAAGTGGGAATTGAACCCGGTCGCCCGCGTGAAAGCCCAATGCTTCACCTAGTAGTCCAATGCACTTGTTGAAGTAAAAGTACGAACAGATAATAAGAGCCATCACTATTCATATTCATCAATGTCATTCCAATCGGTTGCCAGCAGTTTAGACACGATATATTCTGAATGTAAAAGCGGAAAAACTACATATTCATCACCACTTGTATTCAGCCTAACACATTCGTAGCAAACGGCACTAAGAGGCCATGAATGGAGAGGGCCTAGGTTGCTACAGATGAAAATTCCAAATTCACTGGAATTACATGGATTCATCACCATGTTTTTTGTTCAAAAATGGTTGATCTATGACTGTTACTATTGCCATCAGTTACAAAGTTTCTAACAATTATCAAAATATCATTAATGAGACAACAATCATCAGGTTCTGTTGAACCCAAGACAAAATTTGAAAACCTCATTTTTTTGAATTGATTCAGAGGAATTATATTTGGGAGAAGAGGGCCACTAGAGTGTTCACTAGTAGGTTGTGGTGTTGAAAACTGAGAATTAGTCACATCTCTTGATATTGAAATAAAATCACGTACATGGATTCTCTTCACTATTTGTTCAACAGGTTTATTTCCTTTTCTCACCATTTTTTTCAAATTGTGCATGTGATTTTCAAAGGGAAATGCACTGAACATGTCTAGTGGCTCAAAACACCTCACATCATCACAAAAATGTAATAAATTGTGGACATTATGTGAGATATATTCTACTCCATATAAATTGATGATTACCTGAACAAAATACTTTAATGATGATTCTGCATAATCAATATGGTGTGAGAAATGTTGGCTAGATAATATTCTGATGGCTACATGTTGGGTCAGCAAGTGAACATACATTCCTGAATTCAATACAGATTTAAGTACCAGCTGACCTAAATATAATAAGAACATTCGAAATCCAGTGGCTTTTCATCTTTTGAATTCTGCCAATGACCTGCCTTTGCGACTGAGTTCTACCGGAATCTATGGAGTATGACTCAACATGAATCCAGATACAATAGAAATTTGATGAGATGATAACATTATTCCTGGTTTACCTTCAATCCATAAGCTTATTAATTCTTCAACAACCCCCAAGCAAATTTAATGCATATAATCTAATGGAAAATCATTAATCATATTAATACCAGGTTTTGACTCTAGAATAGATGTGCCAGTATGATGTTCTTCTTGCAATTTAGATCTGAAATTTTCATCACGACGAAGTGTTAAATCATCAAACTTAGGAAAGCATACTCTTTTATTGACATATGTACCCCCTTGCGAAACATTTTGTACATGAATTGTAACCAGAATGACCTCTTATATACTTGATGAAACATTTTGCAGGAACATCACGAATGAAAGCTTCAATTTTTACATTATATATTTTTCCATTGAGTGTCAAACCTTCTCGAATAATATCTCTAGCTTCAGTAACAAACAGATTCAAGAACTCATTGGCATGTTTTGGTTCCTCATTACCGTGATACAAACCAACTACATATACTAGATTCTCCTGTCTGAACAGATTGCATAAAATTGGATACAATTGGCTAGGTACCTAAACTCTTAGACAAAGGCAATCCATCAATACTCAATATTGTATCTGATATTTCGATTTGAGGTTGAGCAGAGTCCATTAACCTTTCAATGCAATTGTTGAAACCAAAGTGATGATACACTTCTGGTTCTACAACTTTCAGTGGCACCTCTCTAGGAGTATTCAATGGTGTTCTAGCATCCGAAGGGAGTTCTGGATGTAGAGGTTTCAAGATATGGAGTAAATTAGAGAATGCTGTTTGGGTAATGTTAACATTCACTGCCCGTTCTCCAAGTTGCAGATGAAGTGATTTTTTGTCATGAAATATATTTGGGTTCAGTTCCTTCGCTTGTGACAAAGTATCTTCATTGTCCTCCAATGATGTATCAGTTTCACTATCCTGCTGGTTTTCTATAAACGAATACTCCTCGGGAGACTCACATACATTTGAGTTTTGGACATCATGCTCGCTATTTTCTCCGAAAAACTAATGAAGGTCTGAAATGCTCGGAGCAGGGGGTGAAATACAAGCTGAATTTGAAGACTGAGTGGATTGTGTATGATTTTTTTTTCATCAGTTTTCATTCAGACTGACTTGTCATACACCTGTCACACCTCAGAGATACAGAGTATATTTTCTATGAGAAATAATGAAGATTTATCGATTTTAGTTCTATCAAAACAATCCAGCTTGAAAACATCAACTCAATGTTTAGAACAATCTTCATTGATGAAAATCGAGAAAAAGATTATATGCATGAAAAAACTCAGGTTTTCCAGTCATGGGTCGTTAGTGACCCACTGAGCATTAATGATAATACATTTTCAGAAATAGCGGACATTGATGGGTTAAGATAGGGACATGATAACCGTTTTGGCCAATAATGAATAGTTTCGTCAAAAGAAAATTCCTGAAAAAGTGTGTGAACGAGGTGGTCTCTGATGAGCAATTAACCTATCATGATCACTAATTTATCAACCTGCCTCAAAACCACCTCATTTAATATAATTATGATTCCCAACAAAAAATGTTTCCTGCCAAGCGAGACAGGTAGGCAAGTAGGTTCTTGAATAAGTCGTATCGAAATGCCACATAATCATTCACAATATATCATACTCAACTAACCTTTTATATCTAAAGTCCCAGATAGCAGCTTGTGACACATCCACGTGTTTATGCATCGCACTAGTGAAATATCTGAACTTGCATTCTCTTTACAAAGTCTATTACTCTACTTTGAGACACTCTTCACAATCAATTACGTTCACTTTACTCTCAATCTCAAACGAACCTAAGAAAGCGATAGGAAGGAGGTTCATGAATCAAAGTATTCGGTAACCTAACTGAATTGACAATTCTTATTATCAGATGGATGATAAATGAATGAAAGTTAATGAAAATAGGATCTGGACCTAACTAAATGACATAAAACTGACTTAATATTTACTGCATCCAAAGACTAGTTGAGATATAGTGATAATTTAATATTCACCATGATCAATCATGATAATTGAGTTGTCAACTCGGGTAGTCGATAACTCTTCAATTCATAATGAAAATGAATATTGCAAATAACAGATTACTTACCAACGTTCCGCATATCACGTGACACAACTGAAAAGAATAAAACTCAAAAACGAACTTCCACAAAATTTTGCCAAATATTTCTTTCGTATAGTTAGAGTATCACGTGACATGAAAAAAGCGAAAACCCAGAGCAAAATTATATCTTGCCAATTTTGTAATGTTATTCCATCGTTTGAGTGGTATTCAGAAAATTCTCAACTATTTTGGATACATCCAAAGGGAGACATGATTAACATTCAACATATGTTTCAAACCCAACAATAATGTATTATTCATGGAAACTAAACGTATTATATGGTTGTCTCTGCATGGGCAAAAAGCTATAAACTCATCCCAGACCCTTTAAAGTATGTGTTCGTATGAAGAAAACTATCCGGATCAGTTAATTGTCAAGAAACAAAAATGTTATAAAGTTACATAAAATAGATGGGAAGTTTTGGACGCCACTGCTTCTTTTAGACAATAGATGTTGATTCTGGGGAAAATCAGAAACCTGTAAAATGAGTTTAGAGAGCAAGAGAGATATCATTGAAAATCATGGAAACTTCAATAATATGTGGATTTTATTTAATAATGAAAACTTGTTCAAGAATTATATACACATGTAGTAATTATATACAGTAAAATAATATTATCTATTATTACCTGAAATTTGTTGATATTTTATAGTCTGGTATGTATAATACTCATTTGTTCAATTTACTATAAAACCTCTTTTGAAAATAATGATATTGTTGAAAAGTGGATGTGTCTACCGTACTCGAAAATTCATGAATTTTTACTGAGTTTTATGGGGACGCATGTTAAATAGTAGATATTAAGTATAGTAATAGTTTTGAAGATTTCAAATAAGGTTTGAACATTGTTCTTTTTGATCATATAGGTATCATGATTGAAATTTAGGTAATAAGTAATTATTGTTCAAAAATGAAAAATGAGTTATTAAATTCAAAGATTAACTGGAAAAACCTGATTCCAATATGTAGCAGCTAGCAACTGTCAACAGCAACTCTGGATCATGGTGACTAGTAGGGGATTGGTGACTTCATGGATGGTCGAAAGTTAGAAGGATCCAACTGCATGATGGATCACAGATAGGGCTCCTGGATGGATTGTTGTACAACCTCTGGAGTGGCCCCTTGGTGCAGGTAGGATTCCAGATGACTGGGGTTGGAAATAGCCATCAGTATGAACTCCAAAATCAGGACTCATCATTGTCAAAGCCGTGCTCGAAACTGTGTCGAACCGATGGTGGTTAAAACCATAATTAAAAGCTCGATTAAAACGGTGATTAAAACCCTAGAATGAATTGGTTTTATGAAATGACTGGTGTCAAAGGCTGGAAGAGATAACTTACCTCTGAGAGGGTTTTAATACTTCTCAGGATCAAGAACATCAGAAAATGAGGGCCGGTCATCGGACAGATCACATGCCAGTGAGAATTTCAAAATATATGAAAAATCTATTTTTCTATTCGTCGAATCATTGGAAGAATCTAGAGAAAAAGTTATTATTGATTTCAACTATTCATTAAAAAAAACAAGAATCAAATTCCTAGAATCTTTTCGACTCACCAGTCAGCAGTATCAGCATGCATTTTGAAGTAAATGGCTACTTTCAAAATGTCTTTTCCGGAAATCGGAAAATAAAAATTGATAATCGACATCCGTCAATCGACTGTCAATAATATTTCATTCATCGTTGGTTGACAAAATCGCCGAGAGATGGCGGAGCGAACATCCTAACTTAGGGCACATTCGCCTAGGAGAGTAATTAAAAATGCAACACGGAACGGAACTTTCTCGGGCAACGTTCGGCCAAGACAATGGAGATAGAATTTCTCTGTGTATATGATTTATGGTCTACGGTTGATGAATGACAGATTGAGAGAGAAGAATGGGAAAGTCACCAATTAACCAATTTGTTAATCATTGAATATTTTCAATAACAAATTCAGGAAAATTAAAAGAAGATGTTTTTACCAATGTCCCACTAATACTAGAAAATGGATTGTACACTATTAACATATGAAGACAAGGTAAGGTATGTACTATAAGTATCTGTAACTATTCCTTGTCTGGTTGATTATGTTTTATGCAATGTGAATCTAAATATGATTGTTGTTTTCTTTTTGTTTCAGGAAAAGCTATTGGGTAGAAGATACTTTTGGATGGGCAACAACTGTAACCAGTAGATCAGGAATATAATCAATAGAGAGGTAAGGTTTGTTTATTCAGTAATCTACTTGTGTTTGTGTCCTAATCAATAATAACCTCTAATCTAACTCGATGTTTCATCTGTTTTAGGTAACGACAGTCTTCTGTGAGACACAGGATGAGACGACTTGGTATACAGTGTGTCCAAACATTTACACTATTCTGAACTGTGTTAATAATGTTCAATAAATGTATTCAAGTTTTATAGTGTTTCTTTTTGTGTTTTGTCTAAACTTGTAGAAAGTGGTATGAAAGAGTAACGTTTATTATATATAGTATGTTGTGGCAAATGAAAACGTTACAGTAGTAATAAACAGAACATAAACCAGACCTATCAGACAAAATCTGGAAGCTCAGACCATTGATGGATAAAATGAAGAAGAATAGTTTACTTTTGTTCGAGCCTGAAGAACATCTCTGTTTCGACGAGAGCATGGATGTAAGAAGTTCATTCGTGGAAAGACCATACGCTCTGGATATAAAATTTGGTGCCTCAATAGTTCTTCTGGATATATTGTGAATTTTGAGATGTACCAAGGCAATAATCCTCGTCGATCTCAGGAATTCGAAAAATTATTCGGAAAAGCAACTGCCCCTTCACTCACAATGTTGACAGAAGTCACGGAAATTAAGGGTTTTCAGCCATATCAACTTTATTTTGAAAATTTATTCACGAGTATATCCCTACTGAAATATCTCAGAGACAAAGGTTTTCAAGAAACTGGAACAGTTAGAGAAAATATATAGGATTCCACGTTCGTGTCCTCTCTCAAGCAAAATAATTATGGACAAAAGAGAAAGAGGAAGTTATGAATCTATCATCGATCAGAATGATGGAATTATCATTGTTCGCTGGGTAGATAATAAAACCGTGACTGTTGCTTTATCTTGTTTCGGCGTAGAACCAGTCAATAACGTTCGTCGTTATTCGCAGAAAACCAAGAAGCATATCCAAGTACAACGACCGAATCTGATAGCGAAATATAATAAATATATGGGAGGGACTGATCGGATGGATGAGAATATCGCCCAGTATAGGATTGCAGTAAGAGGTAAAACATGGTGGTGGTGTTTATTCTCTTGGATTGTAGATGTATGCGTTCAAAATGCATGGCAATTGCACAAAAAGTCTGTTGGTATCTTGCCGCAATTGGTTTTCAGAAGTTCAATCGTACAAGGTTATCTGAAAAACTGTGGAATTCCCCCTGAGGGTCCAGGAAGAACTCCTATCTCTTCTTGTTCGGTGACATTGAATAGAGTTTCTGACGAATTACGATACGACTCGAGGAATCATTTGGTCATTCAAGTGCCTAACAAGATGCGCAGACGTTGCGCAGGCGGGGGCTGCTGTTCGCATATCAGAACAATGTGCCAGAAATGTGATGTCGGCCTCTGTATTGAATATTTTGCTGTATTCCATTCCAAATAAATGTTTTTTTTATGAGAACGTGTTATACTTTCATTGATCTAATCCGCCTAGCGTTACCATATGGTTACGCCTTTTTTTAGAGAAAATAAGCCAAGAATACAGTGGATCTCTCCATGATTCATTCAGTCTCATCCCTAATGGTCATAATTTGATGACAGTTATTGTTTGCTTTAGAAAAAAATAATTCGAGCGTTAGTGGGTTGATGTAGCCCCACCACATTTCTATACTATATAATCAGGTCAATCCTGGATTTGAGAACACAAAATAGAAGCGACTCGTTTGGTGAAGATACAAGTATTGACATAATTTTGAACAAGTTTCTCGTGAGGAGGTGAAGTGTATTGTGTAAGTTGAAATATTTTTATATATTTATCATACCTTTCTTTCGCTGTGCAATTTATGATAATTTGAAAAAATATGTCTGTAGTACGTGCGATTGATTTAGACTCCATCAATAAAATGATCAACCGTGATGTTGATGTTATCCAACAGATATCAATTCCAACTCTGATTGTGCGCCATCCCTACGTTATTGAAAGAATATGTTGTTGCGTAACTAGATTCGGAAAAGGGGTTTATGCATTATTATGCGATGAACGTGATGGCGTCACTTTCAAATGTTGGCTTCCGAAACGTGTCTCAGATAATTTAAGCGAAGGCGATATTGAAGTTATGAATTCAGCCAATGGGGGATATATAGAATGAAGAGATTTTGTATTTCGTGTAAAATTTTTTTATTATAAATCGCAAAGCGCTTTCGGCTAAAAAGCCATCATCAGTGCTATATTCGTCAAGTATTTACAAAAAGGTCCAAAAATTAGTGATCACAGACATCATTATGGTACAAACGGGATTATGAACAGACATACATTTGACAAATATGTTCCCTATATATATATAGGGGGATATAGCCTGACATACACAGGTCAGAATAAACCAGCATATGCAGACGATAATAATCTCCTCAATATCTTAGATATATTAAATAAGTGTGGTTATACGAAAGGGTGGATAATATTTAGAAATAGTTATTTACATATCACATACTTGTAATCTCTGACTATATAATAATCATTATTATTGTCAGTATAGAGTCAACCTACCAGATAATGTCGTATATTTGTCATTCAAAATGGCGCGTACTGAGTAGACGTGTGAAAATCGCTACAACTAAAAACTGATAGCGAAAGTACTGAAACAATTGTCAAAAGTAATAGAATAATAGAAATCAATTCAAGTGAAACAGTGCCGACCAGTCATCAAATTGATATAAAATAAAAGTTGGCATCTACATAAGTGCATAAAAAGTAATTGCGAAAACAAAACGAGGAAACATGGCACCAGCAGAAAATACAAAAACTCAACAGTTCGTGAACCAAGTGGAACGTGTACTGCTATGCATTTGAGAAAGAGGAGTTTACAAAAATGATATGCCAAACTGTGGCTGAAACCATTGGAGAAATGATAGATAATAAGTTTGCTGAATTGATTGAAGAAAATAAAATCATTAAAGATGATATGCAGATTTATAAAGACGAGGTCAGTGAAAAACTTCTGGGATACGAGCAAAAACTCGATAATATGGAACAATATTCACAGCGTAAAAACATTAGAGTTTTTGGCATTCACGAGAATGAGAAAGAAGACACATTCAAAGTTTTTACAGATTTCAGTAAAAATATTCTGAAAGTGAACCTAGTTGAAGACGATATAACTAGATGTCGCAGGGTGGGCGAAATGCCAAAAACTAAACAGAGACCTATTTTGATCAAATTCAAAACACCTAAAAAACGCTTGAATGTACTGAAGGAGAAAAAGAAGCTGCGAGGCACCAAGATTGCAATATGTGAAGATTTAACCAAAAAACGAGTACAAAAATTAATGGATGCTGAAAATAAATATGGAATAAAACATACATATCTATGTTGTATAAGCAATGGGGTGAAAATGTATGAAGGAAACATGAAGGATAAACCATTAGAAGCAAGAAATAATTGATTACTCACACGAAACTAACAAGGTTTTTGCCTTTCTTTTGTATATTTGCTATAAAACTATTATGAAAAATTATTTTCCTTTATCATATCATCATCTGTACAGTTAATTATCTTTATGTCAATACAATAAAGAGACAATTATTTTAGGACAAAATTATAAGAGCAGAAAAATAATGAAGCAGCCATCTTTGAAATTATCATGGCAATCACTGAATATATTGGGTAAATTGAAAATCAGGATGAAATAAAACTACTAACATGACTACTGGTCATGCAAAGTTGCCTTGGATGAATCTGTAAGTATGAATATTCTTTATTCGAATATATTTAGTTTGAACAAACACTACGATGACTCAAATATTATGATTCAAACACTAAATCCGGAAAATGGAGATGTCATTATTTTGTCTGAGCCATGGGTTCTGAAAGAATTGAAAAAATAAATTTGATGGTATGGTAATTTATATCAAAAATGGTGTAACTGCTGACGTTTCCCACCACAATCTCACAGAAACAATCATAACAAGAACAGTAATGAAAATTAATAATAATAATATCTGGATCACTAGCATGTATAGATCACCGGCAACAAATATACAAATTTTCTTGAACGATATCAATGAATACTATAAAAATCTCAACAAAAATCAATATGAGTTTCTACTAGGTGATATCAACATAAATATTTTTTGTAATAAGGAAAATCAACATGTGAATCGATATCTTGATATAATGGCAACACTTGGATTCATATCCTGTATGAATGAATTCACTAGAGTCACCAAGAGTACACAGTCATGCATAGACCACATTTTCATGAGGGGTATTGATAACAATCAAAAGATCAAAATACAGCCAATTTTACTGAAATCGACAATCTCGGATCACTATACAACCATAATCAATATGCAACTTCAAACAACATGTGTACAAACAACTTACTCTGATATGAAAGTAATCAAAAAGATAGACTATGCGCTATTAGAAAGTGAACTGAAATCAGAAAAATGAGAAAAAGTTCTAAGGGAAACAGATAGTGAATCAGGAACTAAAAGATTCATCGAAACGTCGAAAAATCACATCAATTTCGCAACGACATTACAAGAAATCAGAAACAAGCTAAAAAAACTGGAGCCATGGATAACAATTGGTAACGTGAGTGCTATCGAAAGAAGGGATGAAAAGAAAAAAATGGCCAGTAAAATATCCAACAGCGGAAAACAAGAACGCGTATAAACAATATAGAAACAGATTGATATTATAAAACACGCGAAGCAGACTTACTACACACGAAAACTAGGAAATACACATAATGATATTAAAAAAACGTGGGAAATCGTGAAAGAAGCTACAAATGCTCAAACAAAATCCTCATATGTTGCAGAAATTATAAACAATAAAACAAATGAAATAACAAGAGATGACAAAGCTAAGGCTAATATTCTCAATGAATTTTTCACTAATATAGGAAAAGAACTGGCGGGAAAAATCAAAATGGAAACTGAAGGAAACGATAACTTTTCTCATTCTGATAATCTTGCTCAAGTTTCTATGTTTTTGAGTCCAGTTGAAGATATAGACATCATAGGAAAAATCATGGTACTGAAAACATCAAGTTCACCAGGACCAGATGGAATATCAACAACTATACTAAAATCTATGCATATATATTTGATAAAGCCGTTGAAACATATAATAAACAACATATTTTATTCCGGAGTTGTCCCTACCCATTTCAAAGTCAGTGGTTACACCCATTATGAAAGCAGGAAGAGCAACACAAATTAATAATTACCGCCCAATATCTCTTATAAACACAATTGCGAAAGTATTTGAAAAATGTTTGAGGGAACTTCTTAGAGAATCACAAACTGTTATCAAATCATCAATTTGGGTTTAGAAAAGGGAAAAGTTCAGAAGATGCAGTTTTGGAATTAACTAAAACCATCTACGATAACTTTGATAAAAACAAAAAAAAACGTAGCTGTATTCATGGACCTCGCTAAGGTCTTCGATGCAGTGTCTCACAAACTATTATTGAAAAAAATTGAGGATATTGGTATGCGTGGGAAAATTTCGAATTTATTCACGAGCTATTTGTATGAGAGAAAGCAGAGGGTGAAAATTAATGATGAAATTAGCGATGAAAGAACAATTAAATATGGAGTACCACAGGGAACAGTACTGGGCCCAATATTATTTTTGATATACATCGAATCCTTACTTGATCTCGAAGTTGAAGCCAAATTAATTTCATTTGCAGACGACACAGTGTTGATCTTCGAGGGTACAGATTGGATCACATTATGCAACAACGCATCAAAAGGACTCAGTACTGTTCACCAGTGGCTGCAAAAATATCTCTTATCTCTTGATATAGAAAAAACTCACTTCATGACTTTTTCAATGACCACTGCTGTAGAAAGCGTTATAGAAAATTTGAAAATCCATGAAATTGGATGCACTGATCTCAACACTTGCCATTGCCAACTATATATTAAGTCCGTCGATTATATAAAATATCCCGGGATAATCATTGACAAAAACTTGAAATGGGACAAACATGTAGAAGGGCTTACTAATAAACTGAGGAAACTCATCTATAAACTTTATCAACTACGAGATATCTTAAACAAAAAGAAAAAAGATTATTATTATTATTATTATTATTATTATTATTATTATTGAAAAGTGATAATGGGCTGAGGTGTGAACCTATAAAAGCCCATTTATACATGACATAGTTGTATGATACACATAAAGAAATATTATATATATATATATATATATATGTAAATAGCTACTAGACAAACAATTAGATTAAAAATAAAATTGAAAAAACAATTGAAAATGTTGAATAGAAATTGAACATTTCGAAATAAAATAGACAGATATAATGCGATGCAAACTGAGAAAAACAAAAACAATTTACTCAGTAATACGATCTAATCGACTTTTGAATGATGATACTGAGGGTGCATTAACTATGTCTGTATCCAGGTTGTTCCATGCCGAGAAAACACGATTTACTATGAAGTTTTGCCGATTTGACGACCTAAAATGTTCCTTCTTAAGTTTAAAATTATGTCCTCTTAATCGTGTATCATCGTTTATCTGGAACATATCACTCAGTGAGGGTAGAAATCCATGAAGAATCCGATAAGTTAGGATCAAGTCTCCACGATGTCTTCGATCTTCGAATGTTGTCAGGCTTAACTGATTCAAACGTTCATTGTATGATGGTCTTCTGAGACCGAAGGACATTCGGGTTGCTCGTTGTTGCACAGATTCCAACATGTTACGATCTCTGATCAACTCCGGGCTCCACACTTGTCCTCCATATTCTAGGATTGGCCTAACATAAACTTTGTAGAGGTTAGTGAACGTTTCAGGTGACGTTTTCGGAAAAACTTTTTTCAAGAGGTACAATTTTGTATTCGCTCGTTTGCATATGTTTGAAATATGTTGTGACCACGTTAAATTGCTGGTTATGGTAACTCCAAGATCATTGTGGCATTCAACCTTAACTAATTGCTCATCATTGATGGTATAATTTTGTCTAGGATTATTTTTACCAAGGTGAAGTACAACACATTTATCAATATTCAGTGGTAGTAACCACTCACAACTCCAGTTGTATAAGGCAATCAAGTCATTTTGCAATATATGTTGGGATTTTGTGTTGTTGTAAAGTTTTGTGTCATCAGCGTAAAAAGAACAGGTTGACTTAAAAATATGTGATAAATCTGATGTGTAGCACAAAAACAACAGAGGACCAAGTCCTTAGGGAACTCCACTCAATACAGGATATTGGTCAGAGAAGCAATCATCTATCCGAACACAAAAATATCTGTTCTCTAGAAAATTCTGGATCCACGACAGTAGTAGCCCGCGTACACCAAAATGTTCTAATTTACACAAAAGTCTTTTTCTAGGGACACGGTCAAATGCTTTAGAAAAGTCTAGATAAATAATATCCATAGGGGTATTATTGTCCAAATGTTTTGACCAGACATTCACGCACTCCAATAAGTTTGTTGTAACTGACCGATTTGGAACAAAACCATGTTGTTGTTGCGGAATTATTTTGTGATATAACAGGAAAGTTTTTAATTCATCACTTATTATTGATTCCATGATTTTGCAAGCCACTGAAGTGAGACTTATAGGTCTGTAGTTGCTCGGGTCGAGCTTGTTACCCTTTTTGAATATTGGTGTTACAGATGCTAACTTCCAGCTATTTGGTAAGCAGCAGTTTTTGAATGAACGGTTCATAATTATACTTAGTGGATAGACTAGATTTTCGCTGCATCTTTTTAGAAACAGGACAGTGATGCCATCGATGCCTGGGGAGGAGGATGATTTTAGTTTTCCAATTTTGTCCAGAATTTTTGACGGAGGGAAATTTATATTGGAAAGGTTGTCCTGGTTGCGTACGGAGTTAATCGTGATTGTATTTGGTAATTCAGGTTCAATGTTAAAGGATGTTGTGAAAGTACTTGCCATCATTTCTGCGACTTCTTTGTTGTCTTTGCATATGTCACCATCCGTCTTCTTCAACATAGGTATACTAACTCTAGAACTAAGGTGTGATCTTATGTACTTGAGATGATGATATACAAGGCCTTAGCCGAGTCCATGATCAGATACGGCATTCTTGCATGGGGAGGATTATACAATAATGCACTAAATTTCCTCAACGTGACCCAGAATAATATCCTGAAGACAATATTCAAACAAAACAAATATTTCCAAACACCTAACTTATACAAGATGTCGTATGTCCTCACAGTGAGATTGTTATATGCTTACCAATGTGTATTGTTCATTCATAAAAACAGAAGTTCAGGAACGTATATTAACCACAAATATTCCACACGTGGCGGAACCAGTGAAAAAATGAAGGTTGAAAAATTATCAAAATCCCAATGCAAACGATACCAATCATTCCTCGGTCCAAGATTTTACAACGCTGTTCCAAAATAACTAACAGTTATGAAC